CCGGACAGATACGACGAAGGGACCTTCAAGAAACGAGCTTCCTCCTTCTTGGAACGCCGACAACGCACCTGCAATTCCCCTGGTGTTGCAGTATTGTATTAAAATATTTAAAACGAAGGTAATCTTGTTTTCATTTCAATCTTTAACACTAAAAGCGATTGGCTGACATAGACGTTTCACCCAGCCCCACCGTTTTTTTTAGTGTTTTGTTAGACCGGGAGCTGGTGACAGGTGACGTTCCACGATTTTGTCGTGCATGCCTTTTTTAAGGCTTGATAACTAACCCTAAAATATCAAACATTGTCGGGGCTTTAGCCCCCCCCCCGCGCGTCCTCTTCATAAGGAAAAGCGCTTTTCTTTGTGTAGCGAATTTTCGTGTTTTTCCGTGATCGTATACTGCATGCCCTTGTAATATACGGAAGTTTAAGCAAATTGAAGCTCTAATAATTGATGGCATGCACCCGGCAGCGGCCCAAGATGATCAAAGGGTTCTGAAAACCTGAAAAAAATTAAATGGCAATTCCGTGTTTTCAAATTGCATGCCGATGTAAAGAATGGAAGTTTTTGTAATAAAAACACTCTGGAAAAATTGGCATGCACCCCTCGTATTACCATGGCATGCAGTTTGGAATCACGGAAAATCGGATTTCAATTTTTACAGTTTTCCGGAAATTTTCCACCGTTGGTCATACGAGGGGTGCATGCCAATTTTCCAGAGTGTTTTTATTACAAAAACTTCCATCCTTTACATCGACATGCAATTTGAAAACACGGAATTGCCCTTAAATTTTTTTCAGGTATTCAGAACCCTTTGATCATCTTGGGCCGCTGCGGGGTGCATGCCATCAATTATTAGAGCTTCAATTTGCTTGAACTTCCGTATATTACAAGGGCATGCAGTATACTATCACGGAAAAACACGAAAATTCGCTACACAAAGAAAAGTGCTTTTCCTTATGAAGAGGACACGCGGGGGGGCTAAAGCCCCGACAATCTTTGATATTTTAGGGTTAGTTATCAAGCCTTAAAAAGGCATGCACGACAAAATCGTGGAACGTCACCTGTCACCAGCTTCCGGTCTATGTGGCAAATTTACCAAAGTAAAACACTAATATAACAAACTTGAAAACTATATTGGTAATATAATGTTTAAGTAATATGGTATACTAGCTGTTCCTCGCGACCTTGTATTTACGACGATTGTATTTTATGGGTTTTATTTGATAATAACGAGTACTTTAATAATGTAGTAGTACATCGTTTTATGTGTCATCAATAGTTTTTTCAGTGCACGCCAAATAATGAATTTTATAGGCGAAATTACAATACAATACCCTTTATTGAACACTAAGAAAACAAATAACATAACAAGAAACAAACAAAGAGAAAAACAAAAAGTGTTGCTATGCAGCAATTTCTTCCAGACAACCTAAATAGGTAATAAAAATAAGTGATAAGTTAATTAATGGGTAGAGTGCACTATTAATAATATTATGATCTACAAATATAAAATTAAATTAATAAACATGCTGGAATTTACTTAATTGACATACTAGTGATTATAAAACTACAGGAAGAGATGAAAGGAGGAGGGAGAATTTAGAAGGAAAGATAATGTTTTTAATTTAGTTTTTTATAGAAGTCTATTGTCTGAACACGTTTTATAGTTGATGATAAGGAACTCAAAAGCTTCTCTCCAAGAACTGAAAAAGGTTTCGTATAAAATGTAGCAGAGTTCAAGGGACATAAAAGGGAAAGGTTTTCTTAGGACCGAAGGGAAAGTTTATGAGAGGAGCTGAGAAATTGAAAACGTTCTTTAAGGTAGGGAGAACTTGATATATGTATTAAATAAAACTTAGAGAGTAGAGTAAACAGTAGAGAGCACAAAGGATATGAGTATTCCGACGAAGACGGATTGGAAGCCACTTGAGCTTAGCGCGGTATTCTGATACGTGGTCATATTTACGAAGTCCAAATATGAACCTTATACATAGATTTTGGAGTCGCTCAAGTTTGTTAAGTTGCTCTTCGGTAATGTCTAGATAGCTTATGTCAGCATAATCAAGGATGGGGAGCAGTATAGATTGGGCAAGCATAATTTTGGTGGACATGGGTAAGAAGTAGTTCATTCTTCGGAGTGAACCATAAGCTGCAAACATTTTACGAGACACTACGTTGATTTGAGGAGACCAAGAAAGGCTAGAATCTATCAAGATTCCCAAGTTTTTCACTACGTCCTTAAAAGAAATTTGAACACCATTAAATGTTATATGGTTTAACTGTGTTTTATTTAATTTGGAGATTAGTTTTGAACTACCAATAATTATAGCTTGGGATTTTATCGGACTAACAGTTAACCCATAAGATCGACTCCAGTGAAGAATACACGCTAGGTCTTTGTTTATATCACAAATTGCTTTTGGCAGATCCTCTACGGTGGTTTGTAGATATATCTGGAGATGATCAGCATACAAGTGGTAGAGAGAAGATATTCTGGAGGTAATGGAATTTATGAAGAGTGCAAAAAAGAGAGGAGATAACACGCTACCTTGTGGAACGCCAGCGTCTTCTACCCGAACACGTTGGTGACGTCCATATAAGTTACTACGAAACCAGGCAATTGCAGTTGGAGATATGTTAAGAGAACGCAGTACACCAATTAGTATATCATGATTTACATCATTGAAGGCATTGCTGAAATCCAGCAACACCATCACTGTGACTAGGCGGTTATCCATTCCAAAACGTATGTCGTCAGTGATTTTTAATAATGCTGTAGTCTTACTGTGTCCCGGTCTGAACCCGGTTTGATAAGAATTAAGGATGTCATTTATTGTGCAAAATGAATTTAATTGTTATTGGACAAGACGTTCTAGGACTTTGGACAGAAAAGGAAGAATTGAAATAGTACGATACTCGGAATAACTCGAAAGATTAGCTTTTTGGGTAAAGGAATGATTTGGGCATATTTCCATTGGGAAGGGAAGGAGGATGTGGATATAGAAGAAATTTAGGATAAAGGTAATAATAGGTGTTAATATATCAAGTAAGGGAATAATCATTTTACGACTGATATCATCACTTCCGACAGCGTCAGAATGGATAGAGTGTATGTTTCTCCTAACATCACAATCTGCAAATTGCCTAAACAAAAATGGAGGATCATTGAGTTATACAACACTAGAGGAGCAAACCACATTACCGCGCGTCGAAAAATGTGTAACCACTATCCAAACGCGACGACGTAGCTTTGAAACTAATAACAATTTTAAATAAACATATATCTATCTCACTTACACAAGTTAAGTATAGAATATCGTCGCTAAAATTAGATAAAGATAGACACACAAACATGCAATGGCGGGTTTGTGTGGCTTACTATATAAAATTTTACCTAAAATACGCAATAAAAATGAGTTTTTTTTAAGCTTCAGTTAATTGTTTTTATATTAAGAAAGTATATTTTATTTTAAAATCTTTATTGCGTCCCCTTAGAAAAAAAGAATACAAAGCTTATCAGATGAGTTAGAAGTACATAATGATGAAATAAAACATATTTTTATAAATATTTTTTACTGTACTAATAAATCAAGTAATATAAAATAGGTAGTGAAATATAATTAATATAAAATTTATATGAAATTTTAATTAATATAAAATTATTAATATAAGATATAAGGTAGTAAAATATATTTAATAGATAATTCATGAATAAAATAAAATAAGAATAATTATTTTGTATAAAGGTTGAAACATAGTTTTTATTTTTAAGCAATCAATTTTACTTGTTTATTTTAAAACAAAATTAACTTATTCCATAAATTATACAGTCTCCCATTAATGTGGAAAAATCACAAAGGCGGAAAAGTGGCAACATTGAACCTAAATTGCAATATTCGATATTTTATTTAATTTTTTAGTGTTTTAAACGTTAATATGAATATATAAATTAAAACTTACGTATGGAAAGTGATTCCGCTTGATTTATAATGTTTTTGTGACCTTGAAACGCATTCTTTCACTACGCATTTACCCATTTTTTGTTGTGAATCGTTCGGCTTAACTCGGATGGCGTCACCTTGAACACTGAACCGACGTTCGCTGAGTATAAGGCTGTGGCCTTATGTGAAGTGACAACGCTTTGGCGCGGAAATTACTTATCTAGTGTAACATATAAATCAATGTGGAGGATAGTCAGGAGTGGGTAATGTTGAATGTTGAGTTGTAGTTGACTTTGCAACATTATCAGTGCAAGAAGCAGAAGAAAAGTGCTGATTAAGCAAATTTAAATCTAAATCATTTTGAATCGAGATTGAACGTGATTCCCCAACTCCAAGAGACCTTAGGAATTTCCAAACATGGCTTGGATCTTCGTTTTGAACAGATTTATGGATATGACGTCGTCGTAAGCCTCTACACAACTTGTTGCAAATTTTGCTATATTTTATTTTGTAAATAAATTATAGCCTATGTTACTTCTTAATAATTTAGCTTTCTATTGGTGAAAAAATGGTTAAATCGAATCAGTAGTTTCGGAGCTTATTCGGTACAAACAAACAAACAAAAAATCTTTCCTCTATAATATTATTACTAGTATAGATTGATAGTTGGATGTTTATAAAACGCCTTTTCTCGAGTAATACAATACACGCGTGAGGTTTAAAACCGAAAGAAGTTTAGGAAGGGATGGCAAGGTGAACTAGTTATGTATCCATAAGCACCCGTATCATATACATAGTAGTTGTAGCCGACTAAATTAAGCCTAATAGCCGGATAATAAAATAAATTATTATCCTTTTACCGAAATATGGAGAAGGTTTAATTTAGGTTATGTTAGCACAGTTACGTTTAGAGAAGAAATACCCATGTCATTTTAATTCACAAAAAATCTACAAATTAGCTATGAGTATTATATATAGCCCAAAACGAAATAGTTTTAAAAATAAGAGAATTTCTTTTGCAAAACATGTCGTTTTTCAGTTTTCACCATTCAAAAGGGTTTAAAGTTCAGAGTCGCTTTTAGCCCCAGTCTTGTTTCTAGAAGCTTTGTGTATCAACGGTGGTGCGGCGCTTTTGCTGCGGGGCTTTCTTCTTATCCTCTTGCGCAGCTTTCGTAGTTTGCCGGGAGCGTTTGGTGGCGCCACATGTCTTATTACCTTTGGCTCAACTTCTAATTTTAGACGGGCAAACATGTCGTAATTCGTTATGTTGCACATTGTACCTGAAAATATAAAAACTTTATAAGTATATTGCCATGTAAGAAGGCTCCAAATCGCTCAGCGAGCTACGGTGAGGGCTATTTTAGTATTTCAGATTATAAAATCCATAACTGTATATAAACTGACAAAGCCCATTGGGGAGAAATTAAGCCTAACTCCGCTGTTGTTTAGATTAGAAATTTGTAAGCGGATCCCTACGATCCGCTGACCTGGGCTTAGGGGCTTTAAATGATGGTGAAATTCAAATAGTCGTGGTAGGTCAGGGGCTAAGAACTATTATTTCGTTTATTTAATCTTAACAACAAAGGTAACATTATATAAATAAAGGGAAATGCGGGTCCTAAAATAAACGCAGCTTGTATCTCAGGACCCTGGCATATTACAAAACGGTTTGTCACCGGACCTCATTTAATGGACACCGAAACTCACTGTAAATTTCACAGTACGTGAGCACTGAAATTGTTAATTGCAATTTTAAGTGCTGATTTACTATCTCAGCCGTGAAGGTAAAGCTAGTATTAATGTATGTCTGAGGAATAAAATATTTCGAAAGCATGCAAAAATGTCAATACTAGAGCAGTATCAGAAATTTGGATTTTTAAAATAAATATCTTTACGAAAGAAAAATAGTGCCTATGGCGCTTATAATATACAGGCTGTTTCAGAAGTCGACGTCAAACTGGAATCGGTTAATAGGGCAGTTCCCAGAAAAATATAAAAAAGTATTTGCTACGTATTTAAAACAATTACAGGCATTTATAAAAAAAATCGAGAAAATCTACAACCTGTGACGGTCTTTTTTTGCTACAATTTTAACTTTTTTTTTAAATTATTTATGTTTTGTAATCTTCAATAATGCTTCTGGAAACTGATGCTCAAAAATTCACAGCCAACTGCTTCAATCCGGAAGGAAATATACTTTTTTTCCCAATCAAGTATTCAAAATTAATACTTTACCCAGTTTTAAATGATTGTATTGCAAAAAAATACTACACGAGTTTGGCAACAAACTTTAAAAGTTGACGCATATAACAATGATTTCAAAATGGTATATAATACTTGTAAGATTATTTGATAAATTATAAAGAATTTTTTTTAAATAAACCTAGTTGAAAATTAGTTTTCCTTACCTGTCTAAAATGATTTTTGTATACCCCGTCTTTTTTAGAAAAGTTTTAAAGTAATTCATTAAACATCGATTATTTCTATGCTAAAATTTATTAAACTCACAAAATATCTTAAATTAAACAATAAATATATACCACCCAGTCCACCCGATGGCAAGTGGATGCTGCGGCTCATAGACATCTACATTTATCTTCGATTAAGAATCAAAACGCAGAAGCGTTGTCACCCCTGAGGACTAAGATGAAATGCCTCGTTTCCAATAAAAAAGGGTCTCCGGATCTCTACATTCACCTTACTAAACGCAGCAGTATTAAGCTGCTATTTTACGCTGGTATTCTGTGAGAGCGTGGTTCCCCGGTCGAGTCGACCCATTCGTGCTGCAACCATAATATAGCTGCAGCGTGGCTCTACCACGTAAATGTATTCAGCACTTTTTCAAACAAACTTTTATATTTTTTGAAATTTAATCTTTCATCACCAAAATCTGCCGCCCGGGGATATTTATTTTACTTTAATTTCATCATTTAAGTAGGAAGTTGACAAAAATCACCCATCCCAAACATCAAACCCTAAACAAAACTATTTCAAGAAGTATTTACAAAAAATTATTTACTTAAACAGCGTAAAAAACTTTAACGTTCAATCGCCTAGAACGCGCTAGCCCCGACTGCTTATTGCACCGTCGGTGAGTCGCGATTTTAGGTAATTATTTCACGCAGGTAGCAAGAGTGACAGAGACCTGATAATAGCTCAATGGTCCTTAATGTTTTTTTTTCAACAACAGTTGCCGTCCGTCACCATCAACACGACAATATTATAACGTGAACATTTCGTCTATCCGTGTAACACGAGTATGCTCCTCCTGTATATTAAGTTTCAAGTAAATTAGGAATCGCTGTCATATGACTATATTACGGTATATAGCTATATCACTAGTGATATCACTATATCACGGTTTTAACCATCTTACTGAAAAATATATAACACGTGCGTAGCCGAAAAGCGACGTTACGTCAAATTTTAAAAACCATCAGTACTTAATCACTAATCAGTGAGTTATTATTTTATATGTAATATGTATATATTATTTATATATATATATATATATATATATATATATATATATATATATATTTATATATATATATTTTTATTTTATATGGATAGATTATATAGATAAACGACGATCTGGTAAGACATTCAGGAAGTCGATAGATACAGCATGCCTATGTTCAGCAGTGGACTTGTGAAGGGCTGTAATGATGATTAAGCATACATTATAACTTTTTATTTTTAATGATCAAATTATAATATTCAAATGAAATTTGATTGCCTTTAGTAGGTAAGTGAAATTTACTGTTGTAATATTGCGTTAGTGTTATTGCATAGGTTCTAGATATTAGTTACGAGCTTACGAGAGAGTAGGTACTGTTGCGGTTATTAAAATCTGATATTTTAGCTTCTGTTAACGGTTATGCAAGCGCTTAACTACTTATACGATGTAGATGTTATAAACATATCTACCTACATACACTAGCACTCTTAAACATCAAATAAAAAGATGATCAATTCAATAATTTGATGTTAACTGAAAAGTGAAAAGCCGGACACCGAGTAGCAGGTGGTAAAACAACATTTAAAATTTCAAAGAGCAATTTTATTAGTTATAGCGGGTATCAATCCCGGACTAGCGTACTAATATGAAAGTTACGGCCACAGCAGTTCGAAGAAAAAATATGTACAATGTTATGGGTTTACATTTGATATTTATAACAATTTTGGCATAAATAGCACACATGAAATTAAAATAGACACTTTTAAAAATATATAAAACAACGCATAAAAATGTTCGAAACACATAACATCTAAGATAAACTAAGGAAATGTTAAGCAATTTCTCTCTTTAAACTATGAAAGGAAGCGTGAAAGACATTCAGATCGGACCGTTCTTCATGCATACTCAAAAGAAAATCTACCTTACGACTGATATTAGTTTGAGTTAAGCTCTTGCAAGAGTAACATTTTCAAGAAAGGGACCACACGTTATAGGGAAAGGACAACGTTTAGAAATAGCGTAAAATTGCCGGAGACCCTTTTTACTGGTAAGGAGGCATTCCATCTTTTACCAAAGGTGTGACAGCACAACTGTTTTTTTTTTAATCAAGGATGTATGTACGTAAATAGGTCCATGTACTACAGCATTCATTTACCAGGTGGGATGTGTACTCGTTTGTAAAAAAATTCTTGATTCATTAAAAAAAATCTTAAGTTTTTTTCTCTATGGGAAAATAACGGAAATAATGTCGAGATCAGCCATACATTAAAAGGATTATTTAAGTTTTATATTACCATATAAACTCTTAAATATAATAGAAACGTAATATAATAGAAATTTTATACGTGGTAGAGCCATGCTGCAGTTATATTAGTAATATAGTTGTAGCACGAATGGGTCGGCTCGACAGGGAAGGGACCACGCTCTCACAGAATACCAGCGTCAAATAGTAGCTTAATACTGCTGTGTTTCGTATGGTGAGTGTAAAGAACCGGAGACCCTTTTTACTGGAAACGAGGCATTCCATCTGAGTCCTCACGGGTGACAACGCATCTGCATTTTGATTCGTAATCGAAGATAGATGTAGATGTCTATGGGCCACAGCAACCACTTACCATCACGTGGACTGTGTGCTCGTTTGTCACCCTATCCTATAAAAAAAAAGAAACATTATGTCCTCCAGACCGAATTTTGGCCACGGCGGCCTGCCTCAACGGAGGCTAGCCATCGGCGCAAGACAGAATTATAGTGCCCAAGGAGGTGCACTCTCTATTCCTTCACTCTCCTAACCCGATGGGACGGTAAACTGACACTACCGGAGAGAGATCAGGCGCAGGACCAACGGCTTTACGTGCTTACGTGCTTTATATATATATATATATATATATATATATATATATATATATATATATAAGAAAAATAGAAACATAATAAATGATATTGCGCTTACCATTACAGTATTCTTCACCGCACTCCGAGCAAGACAAGATTCTAGTTTCCGTCACGCCCGAACGGTTTTTCGTTTTTCTAATCATATTGTTTTTTGCCAGTTCCCTCTTGTCTCGGGCCTTGGTTCTTAGTTCCGACTTGCGCAGTTCAATTAACCTGAAATTGATATCGCTTTTAACTTGCTTTCCTTATATGTAATGTTTAAATTGAGCTACTTATGTTTACCATTTACATATATACACTCATGCTGTCAAGCTTACCTATTAAAATATTCTTCATCTAGTTTAGACTTAGGTCTAACAGACGTAAGCATTCGCCACTCTATTGGTACGGCACATAGCTCTTCGAATTTCAAGCCCCGCATTTCTACCGGTATTGGATCCATGAACGTGAAATGTTTATCTTCATATCCACGGGTGCCAAGTTTTTCATATGCCCTTATTTCTTTTTTAAGTGTCTTTGTTTTTTGGTCCTCCGGTCTATCTTTGATTTTAATATCTTCAGCTCTCACCTAAGCGAAAAATATTATATATGCGTTGTCCCAAGAAAAGGTGTCAGAGATTTAAAACTTTTTCGGAGTACTACTCGAACCACCTCCACGTTTATTCTGAGATAGTCAATTTAACCTGGTTTTCCAGGTATAATTTTCTCAAAAATATTCACTGAAATAAAACTTGTCAGCCAAGTTTGGTCAGTCAAATCAAGTCAAGAGAAAAATTAATTAAATTTCTACATTATTTAACCAAGCTAAGCAAAATTTTTGCACATTTTACATATTTTCTTATAATATTTTTTCTAACGCTAATGATATTTTTATTCAAATTAGAATAAAACAGAAATTTATTTCAAATTACCTTAGAGTTATACATAAGCAAGCTTCATTTCAAAACGAAAATTGGTTTATAAGTCTTGTTTTATTATAGAGTCAATATTAAATCATAACTGATAAACTGGGGCGGGGTGAACATGGGGGTAATTCAGGTTCCCCAGGGATGCTTTACCTTCGGACCTAATAGCACATTTTCTTACGAAGTTCTGTATGAACACAGAAGTGAGGATGCGTATACAATATTTATTATTATTAAAAGCAATACCTTTTCGGGTCTAGTTTTGAACTCCGGAACTTTGTCTAGGACGGCTCTATACTCTTCAGCAGTATTGATAATGGTTTTGGATAAATCAAGCATAGGTGCTTCATCTTTCTTTTTATCAAATAAATCATCCAATTTTGACATTATCACAGGTACTTGCACGCTATACAGTAATGCAATACAAACTAAATAAGCTTATTGATTTAACACCCATTTAGCCTATTCCTAAGAAACTGTTAAATCGATAACATGCTTTATGTGAGTAACCTAATTTTAACTACATATTGCACAGCCGTCTACATAAAATAATGTGCTCTTAGATGAACTAAGATTATTATTGTATTATTAAATATATTAAACTCAAATTTTTAGCTTTATAAAATTTTCTTGTTCTTCGTTAATACATATGCTATCTCTTTTAGTACCGTTGAGTTTGTCGCTATTTCTTTTCGAATTTTCAGCTTCATAGTTATTGAATTTAGTATTTCTTTCGCATATATCTTCCATCCATAACTTTCTACTCCCATATTTATCGTTTATGAACTTTTGTGATAAAGTTAACCTTTTCGTTAACTTATTTTGATCTGATTTGTCACCTGTAATTTGGTCAAGAGAACAAAATTCTGGTACATCAGTATTTAAAACTTCTACACCGCTACTATTTCGCAAATAATCTTGATTGGATCCTTTCTTTCTCCAATATGACTGAGTTAGAGAATTGCGTTGTTTAAAACTACTTTCTGTGGTTTTTTCTGACCTAGTTGGGGGACTTGGAGACCGACTATCTTCACTAGATTGAGACATGTATTGCCGTGCATGTGGTCGATATTTCTGCCGAACCTTTCGCTTTTGACAATAAAACGGATCTTTTTCGCTTTGTTTTTTGTATTGTGCAATTGGTTTATTAGCGCCCCATTTGGGTCGATTTTCAATATCCTTTTTGTACCTGTCCTCTGATCGCAAACGTCTCTCTTTTTTTAAACTATTCCGATTCCCATCCTGTGGCGCATTTTCATCAATATTAGGGTAGTCCTTATCTATATCTCTTTCCATATCAATTGTTTCAACGTTTTTATCGACTTTGTAACGTAATAAATCTGTTTCAGTTTGAGTAAACACATCTCTTGTCCTCAAGGTACGGTACTTTTGTGGTGTCAAAACTTTGTCCTGTGTGTCCGTTAAATCACTATTGATTAGAGAACTTATTGATATACCATATAAATGATTACTTAAGTTTTGTGGCACCAAAACAGCTAATTGTAAGCTATTGGGTTGGGTACTTACAATTTCCCCATGTCCATTAATACCAAGAGGTATAATATTGAATTGACTATCTGTTAGTGCTACTGGGGGTACATTATGAATAAATAAGTTAACATTCCCGGTACCCAAAGATCTTGGTGAGCTAAAAGCGGATTGTCGGGAATTACAGTCCTTTTTCTGACTTTTAGGAGAATTAATTTCATAAGTTCTACCAGTTTTGGTAGGACTTATAATTTCACTGACTGGGATAGTATCAGCCATTACAGTATTTTCAACGAAATTTACTTTATTATCTTCAGATACGGTTGCTGTTGGATTTACTAATTGTTTTTGACATATATATTTTTTCTCTTTTTCAGTCTTTGCCTTTTTTTCCGCCTCTTCTAGCGCCTTCTTTAATGCTTCAAGTTTACGCTGTTCTAATACTTGCTTTTGTTCATGTTTTCTTTTTTCTTCTTCCATTTTAAGTTTGTCTTCTTCTTGTTGTCTCTGTATGCGTAACTCTTCCAAACGTTCTTCTCTCAACTCCCTTTCCCTTTCTTCTTGGCGTCTCTTTTCACGGTCTTCTAACTGGCTTAAAATAGCTGATTGAAGTTCTAAGGCCTTAATACGTTTATTTTCACGTTGAGCTCTTACTTCTGGTTCTATAGGTACATTTTGACCCCGAAGAAAAGTTCTGTAAGAAAATTGTTTTATTAAACTATTAGTCTTAATATTGGTGTTGTTAATAAAATAAATTTGACCTATTATTTTATAAAAATACATACTTTCCTTCATCGCTTCCATTGTATGAAGACCTATCGCATTCTAATCCTGAGTTTGTTGAACTTCTTTGATCGATAACTAGAACATCTGATGCATTATCTATCATATTTAATCCACGCTCCACCCATGACGGTGTACCTTTCTTTTGATTTTGCATCTGTATTTGAAAAATATATAGGTATATTAATTTTACACGATATAAATCAAAGAAATACGTCATTATAAATTTTAGTTCCGAACGCGGTAATAATAAATTATAAAGCGTGGCATTTTGAAGTGAGAAAAAGAAACCCAAATGTTTTAATATGTTGAAAGATTACACAAAGCCCTGGTCACTTGATACGCCTAAAATATAAAGCATAAGTAGCATAAAAATACATTAAGTATTTTTGTTTTATTTATTATAAGAGTAAAAAATCAATAAAAATTATCTCAATGCACTAGAATAATATTTTTTCGATTAGATACTTCTTAATGAGCGCATTTCTACAGCATTCGTTTTAATTTCATACTTCTTCTGCCACAGTCAACTTTCGCTACTATGTGTTAAAGTAAGAAACGAATATATTGTGAATACCATACGTCATATGTCAAACATAAAAGGCTACAAATCTCTGAGGATTAAGATGTTCTCAGCCTGTAATTATCCTGTTTAATTCTGACCGAAACACAGCAATGCAAGCCCTGCTATTTAATAGCAGTAATAGGTAAGAGGACATTTCAAAACGGACTCAAAGGCCAAAAAATTAAGTCTAAATACAGCATTTGACGGCTAACCCATTCTTTACTCACATTCTTCGATTTTCAAAGTTTTCCAAACAACTGTCCATTAACAGGTTAAACAGCCACGGGGAAGCCACACAACTACGTTTCATTGAAGTAATATGTACTTACGTACTATATAATAGCTTAATACTATTGTTACGAGCTTGGGGCTCGTGACAACAAAAACTGCCGATTGAATTACCAAAATTGATACTTTAATTGCCAAACACCAATTACAACCTAAAACACACAAATAATAAAGCACAATTCGCAGTTATATCGCTTCGAAGTATTCGCTTGTCACATTATATTGCCAATTCAATACTGACTCAGTCGCGGCCCTTACTGGCCATATGCATATAAGGCCTTTTCCATTGAAACATCTAAAAGGGCCCGACCGACTAGATGTAGAAAGTTCTAGTAGGAAATTTTCTAGAAAGCTCTCCTAGTTCTGCCACTCAATACTAGATGGCGCAAGTGGCATTAATTATGGCACGCAACACTGCCCCTGCTCGATGCTCTGCTGATGACGTGCTCGTCCCGAGCATTATCGGCCCCATAATAACGCGCCAGTCGATCCACATGGACGATTTTAGGAGTACCTTTTGCACCTTTCTGTATCCGGTAGGTTACGTCATTGATCCTTGTCACAATCCGGTGCGGTCAATCCCATTTAGCTTGAAGCTTAGGAGATTTCCCTTCCTGCGGACTGGATTGTGCAACCACACTAGTGAACCTTCGTCGAACTGTTTGTTCATTTTGCGGTCATACCGGGTTTTCATCTCAGACATTTGCTGGACCGATTGTCTGACGTGCTCATAAATGTCATTCATTTTGTTCCGCAAGTCATTTGCATAATCGGTTATACTGCGTGGGGCATCAGGTGGTGTTCCGGTGATCAGGTCTGCAGGCAGCCGTAACTCTCTTCCAAAGTTCGCAAAAGCTGGTGTCGCTGATGTACTTTCGTGAACAGCGCTTAGACATGAGAACAAAAATGGTTGTATGTGCTTGTCCCAATCTTGTTGCCGCTTTTCACAACTTCTGCTAGGCACCTCTCCAATGTCTGACTAAATCGTTCCACCATTCCATCAGATTGCTGGGTAAGAAGTTGTTCTTGTTTTATGAGTACCCAGGCAAGCTTCCTGGAATATTTGAGACTCAAAATTCCTTCCTTGATCGCTGTGAATCTCCAAAGGTACTCCAAAACGGTAGGAGACTTCATGAACTAGTTTATCTGCAACTGTTGAAGCCTCTAGATTTGGAATGGTGAAGAGTTCTGGCCTTTTAGTGAAGTAATCCATCACAATCATGAAATACTTTTTATCACTTTCACTTTGCGGAAACGGTCCCGCCACGTCAACCACCAACAACCACCAACGTTGTACAACTTCAATGGACCTCTAGGAGTCTGAGGTCCCTTTACAGCCGCACAACTTGTACATTTGCGACACCAGTTCTTGACATCGTCTCGACAGTGGACCCAGTAAAACTGTTCTTGGATCTGCAGTAGAGTTCGTTTAACTCCCAGATAGCCTCTTCAACAGCCATTATGATACTTTAGTTTTAGGGACAATCATTTGAAAATGACAGCTGTCTGCTCGACCATTTTCCTATTTACGGCACAGGACTCCACCCTGAATCAGCAAGCTGTCCCATTGGGCCCAATAGCTTTCCGTGGTCGAACTCATCGCTGAGACGTCGCTCCACCTGGGCTTGCGAGCACTGGCCTTGATCCATTCCAGAATCGGCTTGAAGTCCGAATCTTCCTGCTTTGCATGTTGTAAGCTTGCAATCTTCAGGACAAGGTCTTCTTGACAATGCATCTGCGTTGCTATAAGGTTTCCCGCTGCGATGTTCTATCACAAAGTCGTATTCCTGCAGTAGTTCAAACCATCTCGCAACTTTGCCTTCCGGATTTTTGAACTACAATCGCCATTTCAGTGAATTTTCCGGCCCAGAAGATATTTGCTAAAATGCTACAACGACTTTACCTCAGTAAGCAATTCCCGTCTTGTGACACAATAGTTCTTTTCCGGGTTTGACAACGACTTGCTGGAGTACGCTATCACAACCTCTTGATCACCATTCCGTTGAGACAACACACCGCCAAGTCGTATATCACTTGCATCTGTGTCAACTATAAATTCCTTGCTCGCATCAGGGTAACCCAAAATTGGGGTTTTGCACAGACAGTCCTTGAGCTCCTGGAATGCGATATCACAACTTTCATCCCAGCAGAAATGTCACTTTTCCTCGGTTAACTTGTAGAGTAACTGGTAGAGGTTTGGCTATATCTGCAAAGTTCTTCACAAATCGCCGAATACAGAAGCACAAACCCAAAAATGCTCTAACATGTATATTGACTTTTGGAAGCGGCTAATCCTTGATAGCGGCGACTTTCTCTGGATCCGTGCGGATACCTTCTTGAGACACTACATACCCCAAAAAGCTAACTTGCCGTTTGAATAGTGAACATTTCTTCGGACTTAACTTGAGGTTGGCACTCTGGATCTTCATGAGCACGCGTTCTAGGTTTTGAGGGTGTTCCTCAAACGTACGGCCCACCAAGTCATCCAAGTATATAAGACAGGCATCGCCAATTAGCCCGGTAAGTACAAGTTCCATCAACCTATCAAACGTTGCCAGAGCATTGCACAATCCAAACGGCATAACTTTAAATTTTCACAGACACTTTCCTGTGGAGAACGCAGTTTTCTCCTTGTAATTAGGGTCAATTTCAACTTGCCAGTAGCTACTTTTCGGATCCAGCGTGCTAAACAACTTTACTCCTGTAAGCATGTCCAGCGTGTCATCAATTCTTGGCAAGGAATAGCTGTCCTTTGTAACGTCGTTCAGACGACAGTAGTCAACACAAAACCTCATGCTTCCATGCTTTTTCTTTACTAGTGCCTTTTGTTATTACTTTAGTTCATGGTGCTAACCACAGGTGAACACCATGGACCATATGAAGGTTCAATAACACCATCCTTCAGCATTCCCTCAATCATGGTATACACTTCCTTATCATGTGCTACCGGCAATCTTCTTGGCCGCTGACGGATAGGCAATTCTTCTCCTGTGTTTATTTTGTGTTGAACTAAGCCAGTCTTTCCTATGTCAGCATCGTTTCACGATAAAACATCGGCGTACTTGAGTATCAACTTCTTCACTTTAACTATTTCATTCGGTGAGAGAACTCCGCGACAATCTTCCAAAAGTGTAGTCACTCTCGTTTGTGCATACTTGCTGGGGGCCCCAGCCGATAGATATTGGCACCGACGCAACCAATCCACTTCCCCACAAGTACCAACCAGTGTGCCTTTTTCTATAACCTATTCCTGTTCACAAAGGTTCAGCACAGGTACTCCTGGGATGTCAGTGGTTCTTACCCCGGTGTCTACCCTTTCCACGAGTACACAACGATGAGCTCTCCCAGGATTCTGAGGAAGACTAATCGGCACAATAATTTTCGATCTCGGCGGAATAACAATCTTCTTAAGGCTGTACACGTTTCCTGGTAACGCCCTTTCCACGAAAAGTTCCTCTTGTCCACATATCAAAACACTTTGCTTAACGTCGATCTCACAACAATTCTTCCTCAGAAAGTCTAGGCCCAGGATGCAGTCGTACATTATATCAGCCACGATGACATTGTGCAGGTAGATCATGTTGCCTAGCTTCAACTCCATCTCCTCTCCACGGACGGGTATACGATGACCGGTGGCTGTTACCAAATTAATGCGTTCTCGGTTGTATGCGGAGTCCCCAAGGAGCTGACTTATAAATTGAGAACTGACTTATAAATTGAGAAATGACAACCGTGAGAGTGGCTCCAGTGTCTATGGTCAGTTTACACGGCATTCCGTTGACCTCACCCTTGATGATTAGCTTGTTCCCATCATGGGTTTGTGAGATCGAAATCCTTGGGGTTCTTTTAACGTAAGCCAGCACCCACCCCGCAGTCCAGGCTTTTACTTGTTTCCCTGCTGCTGCTGGGTGGTGCTTTTACCTGCACTACCCTCTCGAGATCGATCACGTTCCCTTTCTACAGTTCGCTTAGGGCAGCTGGATCTAAGATGGCTTCTTTACCCACAGCCGTAGCACCTAGGGCTGTATCCTCTATTGCGGTCGCGAACTGTAGCAGCTACAACCTCCCTAACGCGATGAGAACGATGATCCTGCCGCACGGCTTCCACCTCCAGTGTATGGGCCAAGGCGACCTTCAGCGTCTCGTGGTGCACGAGCTTCGCAGTAGCTCTGACTTCGAGATTGCGGATGCCGTCTATGAAAATCTGCATCAGGTTCCTTTTAATGAGCGCAGATGCAGACCGGTATGCATTTCGAATCAGCTTCTCCACCTCAGGGGCTCACTACTGCAGGTTTTCGTTACTGCGTTGCACGCGATCTTTAAGCTGCGCACAAAAGACGAGTTCCAAGGTGAGCGTTGCCATATCTAGCCTCCAATGTCTCAAGGAGCTGCTCTTAAGTCACTTCCTTACCGAGAGCTTCCAGAACAGTTAAGGCCTAGTCGCGCAGGCCTAGTGTGAGAACAGTCATGGCCTGACTTTTATTTCAGCCATTCGCCTTCATACCGGCCTTGAACTGGATTTTGTAGGCTGACCAGGAGGAAGTCCCGTTGAACGGCGGCACTTTGAATCCATGTAGCGAAGGTGTTACAGCTACTACGGGAGCTGTAATTCCATACCCAAGTTTGAAGTCATCCAGCATTTTATCTACGTCAGCCATCACGTTGTCAAACCGATTGTTCACTTGGTCGATTCGGGTTTCAGCTTCCGACAGGCGGTTGTCATATTGAGCAAGCCTATCCTTCACCTCCCTTATTTCTTTCCCAAAAGTAGCGTGAAGATCCTTCATGAGGAGCATCTGCTCTTCCTTATCGCGTTTGAGCTGTTCCTCCTACTGTTCTCCGTCGACGGGTCTGTTCCTCCTGCTGCTCTTCCGACCGACGGGCCTGTTTCTCCTGTCCACGCTGCAGCTGCTCCTCCAACTGACGGGATTGTTTCTCCTGTCGACGAGCCGGTTCCTTGTGGTTTTGGTGGCGTCCTCCTGTCGGCGGGCCTGTTGCTCCTGCTGCTCTTCCAATCGACGGGCCTGTTCCTCCTGTCCACACTGCAGCTGCTCTTCCAACCGATGGGCCTGTTCCTCCTGTCGGCGAGCCTGCTTCTGCAGCATCATCATCAGAGCACTATATAACAGCTCACACCACTATATAAGTCAGGTGCTTCAGATGTACGACGGGACATCCTCCAACGTCCTCGGCGTTGCACCACCAAATCGTCTCTGGTCCTTGTCCTGCTGGCATTGACTTTGGGTACTGATACCCTTCGTGTCGTCCTTAGGTAAAATCAGCATGATTTAATCCCACTTCTGACACCGATTGTTACGAACTTGGGGTTCGTGACAATAAAATCTGCCGACTGAATTATCAAAATTGATACTTTAATCACCGAACACTAATTACAACTTAAATCACACAAATAATAAAACACAATTCGCAGTTACATCGCTTCGAAGTATTCGCTTGAATCGCTAATTCAATACTGACTCGGTCGCGGCCTTTACTGACCATATATAGGGCCTTTTCCATCGAAACATCTAGAATGTTCAAGCACATACCAGTCCCGACCGACTGGGTGTAGAAAGTTCTAGCAGAGAATTTTCTAGAAAGCTCTCATAGTTCAGCTACATGATACTAGATGGTGATAGTGGCATTAATTATGGCGCGCAACACTATGTTTGACACCTTTATACCGAATCAGTTCGTACAAGCATTTGAGACGCTTACCACCATTCCCTCATCAGCCCTCAGCATTTCTAATGATACTTTATCATCATTAGAGTGAATAAAATGGTATTCGTTCAAAAATGAAAAAGTAAACGCAGCTGAAACAGGTAACATAGAAAAGAAACGTATATACCTACTCGTAGGAGTAAACTTAATAATTTACCTGCGGCAGTCTTGCATTAGGTGCTGTTGGTTCCCACAACCTTCCCGTAGCTACTCCACGATCTCCCCATCGAGGTCGGCCTTCTTCCACCGGTCCTGGGCTACGTGCTGACCATAAACCATCTGTCACTGTAGCGCGCCCAGTTATATTTTGTTTTCTATTTGGAAAAAATTTAAAGTGCATATCTGAGAAAATAAAATTGTTTCGAAAATAACGTCCCTTTATCAAGACAAGAGAGAGGAAACTTGCGTAACGTGTGTTGAAAGTATATTGTTTATATACATATTACGTTAGGAACGCTCGTTCAGAGATTGAAGTGGTTCTAAAAATATCTGGATGAAATCCTTTAAAGGAGAATCGTTAGGCCCCTTTTCGGTTTAAAGAAATTTATTTCTCATAAGAACATACAATGATTCATTTATAATGAGGTACAAAGTTATTATTATACTAAAGTAATATTATCACATCTACCTCTATGGTTCATAAAAGATAGCTTGATCTCTGCGACAGCTGTCATTAAAAATCACGCCTATGAAGTCCTGAATTTCTTAGTAGTACAGACAGACACGTAGACAGAGAAACCTATGGACAAATTGACGCCTTTTTTCGCATTCGCACACGAAAAAGATAGATTTATGCATACGTCTTGCATAGAAATGAGATAGAGCGGTGTGATTGTTTGTCCCTTTCTCCGTGCCGGTTTTTTTGTTTCGCAAACTCTACAGTTTGCTAAACAACTTTAACAGCGTAGTGATTTAAGGAGTTTACAAGTTGGTTTAAGTGAGAAAAAAGTGATTTGTGAGCTTAAGATTGGTGAATCTTGTTCAGTTCAGTTCTTAGAACAATTAAAATGTTTATCTAAATGTGTTTAAAAGTTATAAAGATTATTGTATAACCTAAAAATTCGTTATCGTCCTTTCTCACTCGAGGCCCCGCCGATCATTAGTCTATAGGTTTCTCTGTCTACGTACAGACAGTACTTGTCAATGTCATACTTTATGGACATGCACTAATTAGGTCGGCATGCCCATAAAGTATGACACTGACAAGTACTTTCTGTACTACTAAGAAATTCAGGACTTCATAGGCTGCGTGATTTTACTGACAGCGGTCGCAGAGATCAAGCTATCTTTTATGAACTATAGTGCTAGAAGAGTTATAGTTTAAGAGCAGGCAGTTAAATAACTGTTTTAGTAACTTTAGTAAACTCGATTGTATCTACAGTGTTTAATCATTCGATTCGTGATTCATATTCAAGAAAGTTAAGGATTTACACGATGCAAAATATTTTTCAGAAGCACGAACCCTTGAATTTTTTTCGATAGAAATAAATTCCATAGTTACCTTTGTATTTTTAGAAAAAACACTGGTAATCTTTTAATTATTTTGTGAGTTTACCAGACTTTCAATAATAGTGTAACTATTAAGATATCTATGCAAAATACGTTTAAAATTTTTCAAATTAACCTTTGGTTGACCTGCGTCGCTTGCTGGCGCGCGCACATACGTTCGAGTGTATTTTAGTGATTTATTATAATGGGAAATAATACAAATTTACAAAGGAAAAAAGGGTTGGCGAAAAAAATATACATACAAACATATACATAGACATCTTTAGTAAAATTGTTATAATGTAACCCAAAATAGAAAATTTTTGCCTATAAAATTCATTATTTGGAGTGCGCTGAGAAAACTATTGATGATACATAAAAATTATGTACTACATGATTAAAGTGCTCATTATTGTCTACAAAAAAGACCTCGTTGGAATATATCTAACTGTCATAGTTAAGTCACAATAGTAGCTTTGGTGTTCTAAAATTTAACTAGATCGCCGCGCCGCCGCCGCCGGTCAAAACAAAAGTTGGTTACATTCCTATCGTAGTTATTCATTCTTATTCAAATAAATAGTTTTATCATAATGAATATCGCTTTTGTGTGTGTGAAAGTTCGTATTTTTATTTTTTTATACCGTGTACATTTCTCTTTAAAACGGGGAAAAACCGCTTTTCCGGGCATTTTGGGGCGCGGGGGGGGGGACGACACTCACTCGGGAGAGGAGGGAGAGTGGATAAAATTTAACTTTGCTGTATAACGTACATATATGCCTATAAATAAAAGTACTCCAATAATTTTGGTGATTTTGTAGCTAAAATGATTGAACTAAAAAATGAGCGGGTTGTCATGCTCAGATCTCCAGATCATGCATTATACGCGGTTGAAACCGCGGAGCACAGCTAGTATTAAATATAATATCAACTTTTTTTTTAGATTTCTACACGCCTTTACCGTTGGATATAAATGAGATAGTCCACATCGCGTGATCTGCAATCGTAAAATCAAGGCGCGTTCGAAAATTGTGAATTTTTACTTTTGTGAAGCAATACATGTAACAATTTAAATTGTATCTTTATTATGGTATCAGTACACTATTTTTTAAATTTTACTGTATATAAATTTAAACCAAAGTAAACCGATAACCAATACTTTTGTACAAGTCGTATATACATTATTAGTTTGAAGAAGTGTTTCTAAAAATATTTTAGGTTACAAACATAGATACGATATTTTAATTTTTAAATTATATTGAATTATTAGTTTATTAAAGAGATGCAATTAATGTTTTAAGTTCTCTACTTCTAAAATATTCAGGAGTGATATTTTGTAACGTACCTGTTTTCCTTTGTATCTTGTTGCCACGCAACTACAGGGTCGTTATTGTTGTTGCTGCCACACTGATTTCTGATATTCATGTGATTGACAGTTTCACTTCCGTATCCGGAAGTATCACCTTCGCCGTCTTCGTCGTAAAAAGCGAATCTTTTCGCACTTGAAATATTACGATTTAAAATCTCTTTCGTTTTTCGTTCTTCTTTAATTTGTTTGCCTATTTCAATGTGGTGAATAGGCGGCAGGCTGGGGCTTCTTTGTCGTTGCACCACCACTGGTTCTTGATAATCATAAGAGGATTGCTTGTGCAGCTCAAGGCTGCTTGCAAATTGGTTCCGTACTTGCAAGCGATTGGTGTATCGTTCTCCGGAACCCCACGGTAAGTAAAACTGGGACATCTCCTCTGCAAAATAAAAAACGTATCTTTTCTAATAATGTAAATCTAGTCAATTTAAAGTTTATTTCACTACTCGTGCTAGTACCTTCCATGATGAAGGACGGCGCTATACAAAAAAGAACCCGTAAAGATAATAAAGAATTTCCCCTTACGTTTTATATCGAAGGGTTTTTAAGTTTTATCAATACACATGCAAAGAAAAAGGTAAGTCATGCATAGAAATTTGTAAAAATGTACGTTAACCAAAAATTCATTTTCTTGAAGGTAAAATATAAAAATGTAGTTAACGAAATTTATGCCAGCTACGCAACTTTGTTTAACTTGTTACAAAAATATGTGCCATATACACGAAACGAAATATAAACGATCAATTCCTCATTTAATCTTTATTATTATAAATATGTTACCATTCGCAGAAAAAATCATAATGAAACTATATTTTTTTTTGAATATGAACAAATGTATGTTACGATAAAGAATGAGGCAACGAAGAGCGATGTTTTTTTGTGGAACGAAAAAGCGAAATGAGTATCGAACGCTTAAAAAATAAGAAATAATTAATATCCGAAATATTAAATAGTTAAATTTTATGAATTGTATATGAACTAACTGAACATGACTATTTTTTTTTCAACTTCATCGTGCTACTGTGTTTATGACTCTTTTTTTTGAGGCACTCTTTTCTTTTTCAGTTTCTTGTTTCTTATTTTTTTTCCAATGTTCCTTTTGACATGCAATAGAAATAGAAACTTTTTTATTCAATATAAATTATACATAAATAATACTTATTGAAAGTTACTCTTTTGTTTAATTACCACTTGTTCGGAAAAAAAACACCTCTGTCTTGGGAAGAACCAGCAAGAAACCCAGCACAACTCTTTTTCTTTAAAATAACAGTTTACAGTCATGCTTACAGTCATGTAACAACACAAAACAAATTAGAAATAGCTTGGTAGCGATTACCTCATTCCCAGGGGTTATTATCATCCCCCCGAACGGGTTCCCGCCTTGTCGTGGCGGGGGGCTTAGAAGCCGTGGCTTGGTCACCCACGGCGAAACAAAGAGGAACCCATATGGCTGGTCCAAGGTGGAGGGCCGGCCCGAGGTGGCCACTCCGAGTGGGCTTGGGGAGCCCACTTCGGATGTGTGTTGGTGGACTGCGGTGAGAGGTGTGTCCTCCCCACCTACCGCTGCAGCCGAGGTGGAGTCGCGGAGGAAGAGGAGTGTTGGTATGGCGATGCGCCACTCGCCCTATCCTCCGCGACTCAAACGGGGCCGCACCGTTGATGCGGTGGTGGTGGGGCTGCGGGGGGAGAGGATTGTCGGTATTGCGAGGCGCCGCTCTCCCTACCCTCCGCAGCCGAATCTTGGTTGGCGGCGGAGCCATAGACCAGATCCGCCGCTGGGGTCGGGAAGGCTAGTACTTCTAAGTGCTTGTTTTTCCTGGCCCCATGGCCTTCTTGCATTGGACGCGGGGGCGTCTGTTGCGCAGATGTAATTAGAGGCCGAGAAGGAAGGCGCGCCATGTGTTCTGGTGCGCCTTACCTGTGAAGGAGAACGGGGTGGAATATTCCGCTCCCGAGGAGGTGCTGCCATGGGGCGGCAGGCGCTGGTGGGGCTGCGGATGTGTGCGAAAGCGTTCCCGTGGCCCTGCCAATAGCGACAAAGGTGGAACACCATGGGGTTTTAGTCGGTGCGAGTCCGACATAACCCGTCCTTGCCCCCCGCGAGGCGGGTATGCGTAGGCATTTCCCCATGTACAAAAAAAAGGGGTTATTATCATTCATAAATACCTTAATATTATAATAACCCTTTTTAAACAAGTTTAGTTTAATGAAGTTTTTGAACTTTGAACAGGTCAAATTTTGTGTATTGTCTGGCATTTTGTTATAAAAAATTATACATTGCCCCAAGAAAGAATTACGGACTCGGTGAAGTCGAGTAACTGGTAATATTAGGTCCTTACATATGAAATTGGCGTTTTAATCAAAGTATGCACCGTTGTTATCTATGCACTTTTGTCATTTTATAGGTAGTTCATTGATTCCTTTACTAAAAAACCATGGGGGCGAGAATCAATAAACTCTTTGAAGGCGGTTTGGACTGCCGCATCGGAGTTGAATTTTTTTCCTTGAAAGAAGTTGTCCAAATTCCGGAAAAAATAGTAATCTATTGGAGCAAGGTCCGAGTAGTACGGTGAATGTCGCAATCATTCCAATTATAGCTCATCTAACTTAGTGGTTGTTTGTTATGGAGTGTGTGGTCTCACGTTGTCGTGAAGCAGCAGTGGCCTAGAGCGAGTGACCAATCTCGGGTTAGATCTTCTTCATGTTTTTGTTTTGTGATGTTCTGCCCCTCTTTTGTTTTTCTTTCAGTTTGGTCTGGTTCAGCCAGTGCGACGAGCACTTCCGATTATTGTACAGTATCCACTATTCATCACAAGTAATGATTCGATTTAAAATCCCTTCATTTTTGTGTCGGTTGAGTAAAGTAACACAGCAGACGACGCGTGTTTGCAAGTTCGATTCCCTCAATTCATGAGGTACTCATCGTTCAAGTTTTTTTACTTTCCCGATTTGCTTCAAGTAGATTAATACAGTTTTATCACTTATCCGGAAGCCTGCAGCTATCTCTGAAGGATCCGCTTCCACAATAGCCTTTAGTTCTTCATTTTCCACTTTGGTCTCCGGCCGTCCACGGGGTTTGTTATGAAGGTTGAAATGTCCAGAACGAAAACGTTGAAACCAAAAACGTACCGTGCTTTCTTTTGCGACACCAGCGCCGTACACATCATTAATCCTTCGAGCTGTTACTGCAGCACTGGTGTCATGGCAGAAATCGTACTCGTAAATATACCGACCAATATTTCATGTTTTCCATTGTGCTGTAATAAGCGACGCCAAGAATAATGAGGAAAAACAACTGTTTTCAAAACTCAAATGTACCAGCTAAACGAATTTATAAATTTAAATTTGGAATTCTTAACCAAAGAGGAGATATTTCATATCGAAGTGGTCAGTAGGTACTACAAAACGCTAATTTCATATGTAAGGACCTAATACTAACTAGTGTCTGTTTTTAGTATTTACAGAATGAATGTCATTTATTTTTGAAAAAATACTTTTATTTTTATGTACGTACATAACATTTTCATGAATGTTTTGAGAGTCCAAAATAAGTGTGTTAATTTTTTTAAATTTTCGTATGAATGACTCTTTAGGTTTTAAATTATAGATTGCCCTTATGGCCCTCTTTTGTAAAACAAATATAATTTCAGTGTCAATCGCGTATCCGCATAGCAAAATACCATACGACATTATGCTATGAAAATAGCCAAAGTAAACTAGTCTAGGTGTTTCAATTCAACATTGGTAAAACTTCTTTCTTCACAGTTCTTTTTTTACAGTACATGCTGCAGAACTAAGTCTGCTTGCTAGTTTTGATATATGGGGACGCCATTGAAGCTTTGCGTCTGGTGTAATTCCAAGAAAAATGGGTATTGACAAGCCTCAGCTACTCCCCACTTTAAAATTACATTAGTATTTAAATGTTAAACATTCGGAGTTATGAACTTTATAAATTTAGTTTTAATGCCATTTAAATGCAAATTATGAACATTAAACAATTGACTAATTAAGATATAGCATTATTTATTTCGTCATATTTTAGTAAATGTCGTTTTAATTTGAAAATTAATGAAGTGTTATCAGCAAATAATACTATATCATGTGTATATCTTACTATGTAAGGTAAGTCATTAATATATACAAGAACAAAAAAGGGGCCAAGAATTGAGCCCTGAGGCACGCTAATTTGTACTATCGACCCGGAAGAACTCATAGTATTAACACAGAATAAATAATAGTACTACGGTATTAATGACAACTTTTGAATCTTGCTCTTTATATCGAGTTGGACAAGTGGCCGATCGGTAAACACTCGGCCGTCATCCAGCAGGAACAGCACACTCACCCTTACATCCCTTTACTATATATTTTTACACTATATCTAAATACTTAACAATATGTAATGAAAAACGTGCAAGCGTGTGAAACACCTAAAATTTAGTATTCTTACGTATTATATTTTTAAAAAACGTTTTCAAGAACGTCATAGCGTGTGAAATACCTAAAATTTACTATTCTTACGTATTATATTTTTAAAAAACGTTTTCAAGAACGTCATTTATTGTGTGACGTAATTTATTTAAGAGTAGCTCAAGAACACGTATACCTAATTACATTCTTATCAAAATTTAACGTTTATCTCAGAAAGTGTAATGCAATTATATGTATAAAAAACTACCGCAGCATTACCGCCACATTAGTCTGTGGGATATCGCATTGCCCTCCACGCTCTCTTGCACAAAGAGTTAACAAGCGAGCGCAGAATGATTTGTTTTATTTTAACGCTACAGAAAGTCGCTTATATAATGAGGATGGCAACATTATAAATTTATACTATTTACAGACTACAAAATGGGGGCAGTTCTTAATAATTATTTTGTTTGTTACCTACATTTTTGTAAGGAGGTTAATGATTCTTGCTTTATTAAATTAGCTTTACCTTGTATTTAAATTTGAAGAAAAAATTCCACCGACGTTTGCGTAACTCGTTACCCATTCCCACTGGTATTTTAAAGGCTCAGTCCTTGTTTTTCCTTATCCTTGATTATGTCGATGTATGCTACTCTAATCTTATGGAGGACCAATTAAGTAAACTCGCTTGTTCCGAATTACACTTTAGGGTTTATATTCAGGCTTTTGCAAATTTTCGAGTTTCGCATTAGGCAAGTGGCTCACTATAAAACTTCGTCGAAATGCTCTCATTATATCTCTGCTGTACTGCGTAAAATTTTTGTCCGGAAACACAAAGGTATCTTAAAGAAAAATTTAAGTGCGTAGCCGCAGATAAAGATCATTAGGTACAGATTAAATGATAACCTCATTCACTTTTGTAAATGACTGCTCACAACTCAACATTCTTTCATTTTTGTGTCAAATGAA